TGATTCCTTGTGAATGCTCCAGGTAATATTTTTTCTGTTTCTCCAAGCTGAATGGTCTCTTCGTTGTGTGCCATGTGCTCATTTGGTCAGAGATCTACATTGACAGAACCTCTGGAGTATGAATTATATAAGCAAAAGGCCATTTGGCATAGCATGGTCCTGCTGACAACTTTATTGTGTGTGGGGGGTTTTATGCGTGTGTGTGTGTATAGTCAACAGGAATTTTATTTCCAGTCTATTTCTTGCTGAAATGTGCAGATCTAATACTATTATTATTTAACTAGCAAATTGCCCATCAAGAATGATGGGGTGGGAAGGAATGGAGTGCTTCCTCCCACCACCCCATGCTACAGCCACCTCCTAGGAGCTGGGGGGAGGAACCTTGCATGCAGCAGCCACTGCTGCCACCCACTGCCTCACACTGCTGCTGGTCTGTGTTTGGCCATGCATCACCCCCTTCCTACTCTGTCAGGAGCCATGCCTCCAAGACTTAAGGACAGACAGACAAAGCCGCCCCCCCCCCCGCCAATTGCCTGTCAAAAATGACACAGCTTGCAACATCTGTATTACAAGTTTGCTGTTGCCGGAATAGATTATCTGGCAATAGCTTGCGGCGGGTGCAGAGATCCCACCTCAGGAACACAGCTGGGTGTTCGTATCCCTCTGCTGTTTCCACCACGTGAGACGGGCCAGTAGGGGGTGCTCCTGTGTTGAGCCACCCACCTCCCTGTGCCCGACCACCTTCCAGGCTCCGAATGCCTCCCTAGGGGCGCCTTATGTCCGGCCGACCCCTCTCCCAGAGCACACTCGCTAGTCTGGGATGTAACATGCCGCCACCACCCCAAGAATGGACTGTCTCGCGGCCCTGTGTCCTTGGGGTAACACAGGCCTAAAGTCCCACGGGTACTCAACCCAGCACAGGCACTTGAGGTACTTTCCCAAGTCCGGGGGCAAAAAGGTATAGTCTCCCTTAGTCCACAGACCTAAGGGGTCTCTTAGGCATAATTTAGACCCACCCCTCAATAAGTCTCCCACACCGGTCACAAAGGAGGACTTTATTGATTACAGGAGTAGGGTGAAAATAGGGTACAAGATTGAGCAATATTCTAGAAATCCTAAAGAGCAAACCATCTGGCTGAGGTAGCCTTTTGATCACGCATCTGAGTTACTGCCAGCTAGATATCTCATCAGATCCTGAGTAGCTTACTCACAAGCATCTTCCAAAGGCAGGTGAAGTTTTTCTTTTGAGGCAGGCGGTTCCTAGCTCGTGAGTTTGGGGGGAGAGAGCCAGTTTCAGATGTTAAGGCTTCTCTGTGTCCTGCCTGGCTGCTGCGTCACCTCATGGCCGGAGAGGAGAGCCCGCCTCCTTCCCCGTCCTAACTTATATAGCCCCTGTGACCTCATTCACCTGGGCCAGCGGAGGTCAGCCCCAGTTGGCTGTCAGCCAACCAATCTGAAATGCATCACCTGTTACCGGGCAGATTCCAGCTCCCCAGGTAGATGCCCCTCACCCAGGTAAGTGATGCAAGTCACGTAGGCAGAGGGAGCAGGTTTCCCCCTCCCTCAGGAATGCAGCCAGCTCCAGTTCCCTAAAGAGCCAGGCTGAGGGTGTGGTCCCCTGTGTGCTGGGCCCACCCTAATTGAATGGTCACAGCACAGAGATTTAAATCACAGTGTCACAGGGCAGAGATTTTTGGGGAGAAACCAAGGTGGCTTTCTGCCACATAGCTAACTTGTAATACAGATGTTGCAAGCTGTGTTCCATAGGTTACTCATAGTCTCTGGAAGCCTGCGGGGTTATATGGTGCTATTTTTCTTGTTTCTAGCTTGGGGAAACAAGATACTGTGAGAGAAGAAAACTGGAAGAAACCAAGTCGTTAAAGTCCGAGAACCCTACATCCTTCCATAAGCAGAAAAATGGAGAAAGTGTTATTTTTGTTGTTTTAGCCCCATTACAACACTAGAGAACATCCTTTATACCTGAAAATGCAGGTAGTGTTTCCAATCTCAGGGAGTCAAAAGTTGGGAATCATAAATTTAAAAGCCATGATTTAAAAAAAAAAAAAATCTATTTTGTATTTACCCTTTAGGTGAACCTTCTTGGTGTGTTCACATGATGTTTTCAAGCTTTTCCTACCAATACCTGAGAGCCAAAACATTTTAAAATTAAAAATGTGATATTTCCCATGCTTCCTAGAAGCAGAAAAAACCCATCATGTATCATGAATTGTGGTAAAGTGGTAAGATTTGACATTACTGTGTACCCCAGGTGCTGAGTGTTAAAAGGAGAATGCCCCCCACCCTGTTCGAACACTCCCCCCCACTTCATTTTTTTGAACTTAGAGTTTATGCTGCTTCTACATGCGTTGTGGGAAGATCAATCATCAAAACTTAACAGGGGAATGTGGGAGGTAAAGACCTAAGCTACTCCGAAACCAGCTGGGATTCTTGAAAGCTGAAAGTAACATGGAAGTCTTGCTGTAATAATACTGCTGAATAATGTGGTATCATAAATGGTTAATAAAGTCATGATTTATATTACTGCCCAGTTTGATAGCTTTCTGGTACAATAGATATTTGTCATGTTTTAATCTGAGAGCTGTTGCCACTTGTCAATTGTTTCCATCTAACCAGCAAAGTGCTAACAGCCGCTTGAGTATGAAAACCACTGAAAAGTATTAGAGTGCAAGAAACTTCTGACAGTTTAATTGTGTTGCTGTTTTTAAAACGTGAGACTGCTATATTGTGATTGCATAGCCCATCTCTATACCTCCTGAAAAAGAGTTATTGATTAAATGAATAAGGATTCCTCAAAAAAAAAAAATCTATGAAGGCAGAACAATAGAGAGAATAATTACAAATTGAGTAACTCCGAACAGAAAGCATGTGATGAAAAGGTGGATTTTTTCCTCCCCAATTTCTTTATTTACGTTTGCGTTGCAGTGAAAACTGCAAATTCTACTTTGGCAGTGTTAAATAGTTTAAAAAAGGAGGATTCTGGAAAAGTCTAAGGTTTTCTGTTGTGGAACGGTAATAGGAGAATAAAAATGTAATGCATTGTATATTATGTACTGGACCTTGCGCTTAGATTTTGTAAATAACATTTTCTGGTAACATCTCTATTTTCCAGTGATTTCTGAATTGCCTTTACACTTGGTTCTGTTCTTTAGAGCCAGCGACTAAGGAAACATTTTTCCAAGTCTTTCAGTTCAAAAACGCATTCTGTGGAATACAGTATGTGATGCTTAAATAATGTATAAATCAGGTTGGACAGGAGCTGCCTGTCAGTTTTATTAACTTTGACCTTTTCTCCCATTATAAAGATGGTTTGGTAAATATTTAATGGGCCCTTATAGATTTTGACAGTTTGGGTCTGTGTTCCTGGAAGCAGCATTGGGTATATATAATACATATAATTAACAAAAGTCTCACTTAATCACTTGGACTCAGCCCTCAAGGACAGAGTCTGTTTTTGGGGAATAGTAAATTAAAAAAAAAATCCCTCTTTCCTGGTACATAGCCCTTCGGTGAGAGCTAAACTTGGACTTTTCACCATGGCCACTATATTTTTCAAGTGGTGATATTTAGAATTCATCTGTGATAACCAACAATTTTTGCTCCATTTTTGAGCATATGGTCAAAGTGATACCATGTAGGTAAAAGACCTGCCTGCGCCACTCTGCTTGTAGAGCCTAAGTCTTGCAGAGTGGTGTCAGCAGGGACAAAATGGCTGAGCTTGCAGCGACCTTAATAAGATGCAGCAAAGGAAAGGGAATGATAGAGCCAGAGGGGTCTTCTGCCAAGCTGTCTTTTCCTTTAATTCCATAAAATGCTGTACATATTGCACTCATTGCACATTCTAGTAGTGACGATTGAAACCTTAAGCCCCCAACACTTTGAAACATTGTCTTTCAAACTTAGACTGTCCCTTGCTTTCATTGATTTCCCATTTAAGAAATCTATAGGAGAAAAAACAAATTTGAACAAAATTCATTGGTCTAAGATGAGTTGTTAGAGCAAGGTGATGCCCCTCCCTTTCCCAAGCTGAGAGCAGCTCAGCTTTTATTAAGAATGCTATGCATCTCTGTCGGTGTTGCACCACCCTATAGATCACATACCAAATTGACCAAGTAAATCAGGAACCTGTTAAAAAGCATTATGGATGCTCTAAACATAGATATTCTAGTCATATTGGTTGCACTGGAGAGCTTCGCTTACTTTTATAGCCACTTTCAAGGAGATTACTTTGGCTGCCTTTGCTCCCCTAGTTTTAGTCTGTCCTTTGGGTGGTGGTTTTGCCTAAGAAGGGTTTATTTTCTGAGCATTATTAATCATAGCTTTCTGACCATGACCTTTCTTCTGTGCTGGTCATTGGATTAGTTTCCTTGACTTGTAAAGTAGCTGACCTTTTTCAAAACAAATCTGTGGATGCTTCAATGAAAAAACTGATACAGGACTTGTGATGTGGAAGAAATTGTATTTTTTGCTGACATGAAATAAATATCTGAAGCTTTTAACTTCAGACTGGTGGAAAATCTGAACAGGATGATTTAAGTGGTGTTGAACTTAATTTGTAACTTGTCATTCCTACAATTCATTTCAGCATGAAGACATCAGTGTGAATGTATCTTTTTTTTAAATCTCCAGGCAATGAGGACACACTCAGTAAAATCTTGCAGATTCACATATGTCCTTCCCATATTGTCTTTCATTGACAACTAAAAATGGGTGGGGAAGAGAACTGCTGTTTATAACATTTTCATTTGTAAAACTGCAAGGAGCAAGTGAAAACAATTTAAGAGAACTAGGTTCTCCCAGTGCAAAGGGCTGTGTTCCCTGAACCCTTTTTTATAAGGACCCCCAAATTTCTTTTTATGATCATTGACCCGCTTGCAAATAACGGTTGCCTTTTGCATTAAATAAAAAGTTTGCTTTTGGCGTTTAAAAAAAAAAATCCCTTAATTTAACAAATGCATGTTTTCACTGATGGTATTCATCAGCAGACTACAACACCAGGATTGTTTGTGCATGTTTTAATTCTGCTGGTAAGAGACAGTCCAGTGCTGCCTAACTGGCAAGGAGCTGTTGTGTTACCAAGGACATTGATGCTGAAGGTCTGAGATGGACAGAATATTGCAAGGGGGCGGGATTTTAAATATACACTTTTTTTTACTGATTTTTTTTTTTTTCTTTTCATTTTATGTAGTTACAATATCATGCAGGGCTAGCATCTGGCCTATTGAATCAGCAGTCTTTGAAGCGCTCAGCCAACCAGATGGGAGTATCTGCAAAACGCAGACCAAAAGCCCAGCCTACAACCCTTGTCTTACCGCCTCAGTAAGTACTGGAATATTTTTGAGAATTTGCACCATGTATTGTTTCCAATTTAAAAAAAACCAACCCAACTTTTTAATAAGAAATAGTTTTTGTTCTATAGAGGGATGATAACTCCAGTAGGAATAAGGACTGTGGGCACTGTAAAGACAATTTGTTGCTGCCTGCTATAGTCATTAAAGGTTACTTGGGACTGTGACAAGGAAAAATCAGTTACAAGAGTTTTCTTTCCAGCGAGCCCTGTGCTTTGACATTGAAGCAGGATTCTTCACTGATTAGGGTGACTAGGAGCCTCAAGTAGGACTCCTCTGAAGGTCCTATAAGACGAGCGAAAGAATCTTTGTTGTGAGTTCTTTCTTGATAAATGTCTGTTCTGAGTCCATCTGTTCACCATATGTTAATTTTGCATTAGATTTAAACCTGCTTTACAGGTGACAAGCAATTATGAGGACACCTAGAAACTGTTTAAGGACATAGACAATCAACACTCTAGGCAGTCTTGTGTTCTAATGCCAAAAGCACAGAACACCCACAACTCAGCTTTATAAATTAATAAGTTGCTTAAAATATTTAGGTACAGATAAAAAAAACCAAAAACAACAAAAAACTATTATAACAAGAGGAAATGAAGTGTTAAGCAATTATTCACTGTACTGTCATCCGTGCTGTTTGTGAAAAGTGACTGCTAATTTTTTTTTAAAGAACGAGATTCACAAGGTATAAATACCAGAATACTGTCCATGGGGGTTTTAGTCTCATCAGCCTCTCTGTTGTCACCAGAGTCCCCAACACTGAGTTGGTGCAAAGCCCAAGGGAAATCCAAATGCCCTCAGGATGAATGAGAACAGTGCGATCAGCAGAGCTTTCCCCATGTATGGTAACTTTTAAACAGCTGCTAATTGAAAAATCCATACAATGTTGTATCTTTACCAATACATCAATAGCAGGCTGGTTGAAAAGGCTGCTTTCATACAACCACAAGATGTAGGGTCAGATACTGCCCTCTTTTGTATCTGTGTAACTGCATTGATGTACAAACTTGCAAGCAATGTGATAAACTGGGGAAAAAATTGGCTGATGAATAGGGTTTTTTTGTGGGCAGAAGTGTCAAAGGTATTTGGTGTAGAGGACTGATTTCCATGATGGTTCATGAACTGGAGTATTGTGTTGCTAGCCCTTGCAGTTTTTATTTTGTAGTCTGCAGATATTTGGGGGTTTTTCCCGCAAAGCCCCAATTTTTCTCATGTTCTTATTATGGGAGATTTCCACCTTTTATATTTAACTTACTTATAAAATAAGTAAATCTTAGCCTTCATGGTTGCAGAGAAAAGCCTGAAAATGTGACCAGTGCGTAACTAAAAATATCTAATAGAAATAGCTCTAAACATACACATTTTTAAAAAGCTCCTGAGATGTGGGAGCCTGACTGGTTGTTTTTAAATGTTTTGAGCTGGCTACACTGAGAATATAAATTCAGAATGTTTTACTCTTTTATTTTCCTATTCCGCTTGATTTCCCATTGAATTCAGTGGTAGGCTTGCAGAGAGATCGGAGTATAATTGTACCTTGGTGTGTTAACTAAACTTTTAGTTTTCTTTACGATTTGTTCAATACTTCATTGCCACATTCACTATCACTCAAGTGGAAGATAAGCTCATTTTAAATGCTCCCCCTTTCCCCCTTGTTCCTTCCTCATTGACCTTTCTGTTTCTTCCCTCGTTTTCTCTCTTGTAATTTTCTTCATTGTGAATTTCCTCCCTTGCAGGAACTTCTAGCTTCTACTTTCTTACTCATGGGCTTTATTTCTTCTCCTTTCCCCTTCTATTACTAAACTAAGCAAGAGACAGTTGAGGTTTTCATTTGGAGTCATTAGACTTTTGAATCCAAATGGTAAGGAAAATAATTGTGGGCAAAGGAATTGTTGTTTCTGTCATTCCCTTGCTGTGTGCAGATTCAGGCAGACAATGCTGCATCAGGTAAGGTTAATTCATGTTTGAAATGTTTTCTTCTCAAATGCAAGAGCTGGAAACTTCTTTTCTTTCATGGAATCCTGGGTCTGCAGATTCCAAATATTCTACATAAAATGAACAGGAGCTGGATTTGCTCTATTGATAAGAGTTGAGGGGAAGGTAAGAGGTGTTTGAATTTGTTTATATTTTGAAGAGATGCTTTAAAAAAAAATAACATAGAACCATCCTGGTAAAAAAAGATGCATAGTTTGGATTCCTTCCTGCTTGTGGTAAGAGATTTAGAACCAGCAAAACAGTATTTTCCAACTGCAGTGGGAAAACACAGAGAGGAAACGGTCTTTCCAGGTATCTAGCAGTCTGTGTGTGATTTAGCTTTTCTGTAAAATGGTGTTGCTTTGTCCTGTGTAGCTGGTACCAGTGCTGTTGTGCATTGACATGCTATTGCAGACGATCTGGAATGGGTTTGGTTTCCCTCAAAAGGAACATGTGCTGAATTTCCACCATTCTGGATGATTATATCTGACTATATTAATTAACCAATCCTTGATGCACCTATTTAATCTTAATATTTGTGCACCTTCAGTTCTATTGTTATAGTTAATCTGGTGTTTTAATCGCAGTATAAGTATAGTGCGACAAACAGATTTATATGATTTTAGCTGTGCTCTAGCTTCATGGGAGTTATGATAAACCCTGCCTTGTTACTTTTCCTTATTCTTCATTGAAGCAAAATGAAAAAAATCTTCAGTGCAAGCAAGATACTTGCTTGAAAGGGGATTTTTTTGGGCATGGTGACCTCTTCCTAACTCTGGCATTTATATAATAAAAATTCTATTCTGGATCTATTTCATAGTGGAGGAAACTTTTTTTTTGGCACGTGTGCTGATTGCTTCCTGAAATGTATTTAAATTTATTTGTAAGTCTTTAGGTTGAGACCTACTGCATATAGGGATTCGGTGTCAATTAAAAGCTATTCAAAGCAAATTCATTACCGCAAGTTTTTTTCTATAGCATCAGTAGATAAGACTACCTCTGCATTTTAGTGGTTGAGTATCATGTTTCAGGGCAGCAAGTTGAAGTTGGAACCAACACCAACACAGCAGTAATTGATGTCAGTCAGCAAATGAATGTCAGGAAACTACCACCCTCAGTCTCGGGAAGTAACGTGAATAATGACGTGGACAAAGAACAGTCTGAAGGCCTTTCATGCAGATTTCCAAGAGAGACTTCAGTATTAAAACAGATTGCCTAAGGTTCAGCTGCTAACAGGGCTTAGAGAATAGCACTGACGAATATTTTATATCACTGGCATTTTTTTCTTTTCTAGAAAAAAATATAACACTTGAGACTGATATTTTATCTTCTATTCTTAGTAGAAATCATGCCTTGTAAGTTATCTTGGAATCCATATCTTCATTCCTTACTACAAAGTTGAGGTTGGCATTGTGTCATTTTTTATGGCCTCTATACTTCTAGGGCTGACGATTCAAAACTAGACTCATCTGTAAGCATTGTTTCAACCAGACTCGACTTCATACATGCTGAATTCTTATGAAGTCCATCAGAAGAGGGGTGTGTGTTCAGGCCTTCTGCCAACCATGACTGCAACTGTATTTTTTTATTTAAAAAGTAAGTGAGAAAATGTGGGCCCTTGCTTTGGGTTCTTCTAAAATTGAAAGACCACTTAACACAGTTATTGCCCAAATGTCTTTTTGTTTTATTTCTTCTGGCATCATTTAATTAAAGGTAAATTCTCACTCCTAAAACTGGACCTCTACCTCTGAAAGCCATGCGCCATGCCATGATGGCTTGAAACTGCTGAAAATGGTTAGCTTTAGGAGGAACTCTCTGCCAGTGCAGTCTTGCTGAGAGTGTAACAGACTGTCTGATGTGTTACTGCAAAGCTGAAAAATCACATCGGTGCGAAACACTGCGGTCTGATGAAAAGGGAACAGAGGAACCCCAGGGAGCTGCCTTCATTTGTTATTGCAGTTGTACTTGTTGGCAAACACAGGGGGTTTAATAGTAATAATGGAGAGTTTTAGGGGTATCAACCAAAAACTATAACCTGTAGCTAGTCATGACAGAAGCAGTTTCTCAATACTCCAGTTCAGTCATTAGTCTTTTCTAGACTGGTGGGTAACATGGAGTAATAATTCAGCTTGAATTCTTCCTGAAACTCGGCGCTGCCACATCCACGTCTGAGCGTTGTTTAGAGTCTTTCATTGTGGCATGAGTCGTGTTGCACAAATTGACTTTTGCTAGCCCAGAACTTTCCAGCTCTTGGCAAGTATTTTTCACTGACTGGGGGCCTTCATTGCTGAAACAAAAATCAATCCTTATTGCTTGCTTGCTTGTCAGTATGACACTTAAATGTCTCGGGCCTCTTCCTGGGAGGTTTCGCCATTCTTCCTGGTTCTTTTAAGCACCTGGGTCAATGGCAAGTCTTAGTTCAGGATAGTTCCTGAAGTTTCAGACAGGAGAGCTGCCTCTGTTTGTGTCCTTTGTAGTCCATTCAGAGTAGATGCACATAACAGGGGGTACGTGCATTTTTCCCCCCCCCAATCTTGAGGGATATTGTTTACGGAGAAGATGGTTGGCAATGCCAACCGCTACCTTCAAATGCTAAGCAAACATCCATAACTCTGTTTGCAATAGCATTGTTCCACATTTCATGCAACTTATTGATAGATGCCAATTCTATTTACTTGGTGCCAGTGCTCTCTACCAACTGAAATTTTATTGAATCATAGCTTTTTGTGTATGGAAAGCTCTAAAATTGCATCCTGCTTACTCATGGACTTGGGTCATTTCAGCCAGTTGCCTCTTGAGGAAATGATATGTTTAGGTATTTCAAGCAGATTTTTAAGTACTATATCATAAAAAATTAGTAGTGAAAAAATGACTCGCTTTGTTTCATGTGTTAACTAAAATGCGTAGGTAATAAACAGGCTTCCAAATAGCCAGATGTGCAAGAATAGGTCCTCTGACGATTTTATGGTGTGAAACAGCATTTTCTAAATCAGCTGTTAG